CGAGTGAGTGAATGATGTACGACGTATGGGCTTCGCTCTCAGGCTGACGCACGCGCTTCCACTGCTACCGCATGGATGACGTCCATGCGTCAACCGCATGGTATATATAATATCGCTGTATAAAGGCTATATAGTCCGCAGCGAGAATACGGAGAGTGAAAGACTATGAACAATATGAACAATATATATAAAATGAGCTGCCTACGAGTAGTAGCATATACCGTAGGCAAACTATATAGGCATATGCTCGATACCACGTCTGCTAAAGAAAGAAATAAAAACAAACAAATCTTTATATATAAAAGTGAATGTTCCCAATTTTTCCAAAAAAAAAAAAAAAAAATTCAAGATCTAGAAGTTGTTTGAAAACAAACAGAACAACATATAATAACGAAACCATTAATGAAAAAAGGTACGATACACGCACACACAAACGAACATTCAATTTTATATCTATCGTTCACACATATGTATGTTGTCTCGTGTGCTTTATTGACACATATGTGTATTCTTATGTTCTTTCTTACTTCAGGTAAATTTAGTTAAGTTTTGATTCTCAAGCATTGAACACTTTTTTTATTATGGCATGTATCCAAATCTTTGTTCTATTTTTTGTATTTTTTTTCGGAAATTCCCAATGTGAACATTCAAATTTGTCGAAACATTATGAATATTCTGTAAATAATCTGATAACTAAAGATCTGAAAGGTATATTTGTATGAAATTTGGAGAAGTGATACACATTTTTACAGGTTTTATTTTTCACATTTTCAGACACAAAGTATTGTCCAACCATTTTGTTGCCCACAGAACATACACTGAAAAAATCGTTAGATTCGATACTCTTCAATTCAAAAAGTGGTACAATTCCGAATAAAATAGATCGCATCGATTTGTGCTGTCGTACGCTGTACAAGTGTAATCTTCAAAAGACTTCTGAAATAAATCAAACAGTATGGTACATTCGGCACTGCAATTGTGTTCAATCATTTCAACATTGTTTAAAAAGTTTAAACACTTCGTTATCGAATGAATTATATTCGACGTTTGCTTTAAATGCCACCAAATGCATTTCAAACGAGCAGAAAATTGTCGTCGTTTCATTCAATGCATCGCTTAAAGGTAATTAGCATAATCAGATCAAGAGATGTCACCACATTTTCATAGAGACAGACGAACATACACATTTAAAATATGCAACTATGTATTTATTTATAAACAAACACCAATTACCACCAAACAAAAGATGCATTTTCGGCTTTTTTTTCAGCAGCAGCGAACAACGAATAGCAAACAGTGTGTATGTGTGTGTTTTGTATGCAGACAAAACCGAATGTTTTTTCAAATAAACTGATTGTGATACACACTGTTTGATATTCGTTGTTCGCTGCTCGTTGCTGTCTGTTGTTCTGTGAAAAAAGAAAAAAAAACGAAAATGAATCTTAACATTTTTTGTTTGATTTTACTAGTTATTTCTGAAATTAGCGCGAAAATGTCTATGGACGAACTTGAAAAATTAAGCAAGCCGGGAATTTTCGAAACACCGGAACAAACAGCAGATTTTATTTTTAAAGTGCTGAACGTCGGCTCGTCATTTGGTTGTGACGTTTATCAAACCTTTATTGATGGTAAGAAATATTTTCTAATGTAACATAATTTTTACCGAGCTGATAATTTGATTTTTTCTTGAATATTATAAAAATTTTGTTCCGTTTTTCGCATATTTTACTTAGAAATGCTTCAGAATACAATTACTGCCGCCAACACATACGAACACTCAGAACAACATGAATATTTGTCGAAGAGTCAATTTTTAATCAAATTGGTGCGAATACTATTGAAAACAGCATGTGACAACCACAAAATCATCAAAGGTGTGTTCACAAAATAATTGATATAAGATTACATTATAAATAATTGATGCGAAAATTGTTGCCGTTATGCTTCTAGGTGACGTCTCTTCCACTTGCTGCATGTTGACTGAAACCACTTCGGCCAACCCAATCACCCAGCGCTCGTCGCCAAATATAAATGTGCATTATGGCTTTTTTTTCAACTCTCCGTGCAAACCATGAAATTGATTTCAGAATAATTCCGATGTTGGCTGTGCATAATTGCTAGTTTAAAAATATTTCTTTTTTTTTCTCGCCAAATAATTCAAATAAAATTTTCCAATACAAAATTGTTTGTGTGTTTTGTTCAGTTCAACGCTTCTTTTTCACAGTTCAAATGAAGAAATTCAAAATATGAACATGTGATGTTGTCGCTAGTGGTCACCATACAGTTGTCTCGCTTGCGCAATGTCAGTGATACAGCATGTGTCAAGCACATTCAATGTCTGTGTGTTGTTGTTTCAATGATGAAATTTCAATTTTTTTAAATACATAACGTGTGCATCAATCAAATTAAATTTTTTAAAATGTCTCGTTTGAATCGTTTGACGGGCATTTTGCATGTACAAATCAAGTCTCAATTCAAAAATGACCTTACAATAGTTACATGGTCACGCGGTTTTACGACGCAAACAAATCCCAATGAACGCTTATCGGATGGACCAATCAAGTGTTTGCAGGATAAAATCAATGCTGGCGAACTTAAGACCGATGAACATCAAACCAAGGTAATGGATGCACTACAAACACTCTACGATACAATTCAAACGTACGAACCAGCCGATGTATCATCACAAAGTTCCTTATTCAAATGGCTATCAATAAAAACAACAAAATCGAAAAATAATGCACCAAAAGGCTTGTATATTTATGGCAGTGTTGGCGGTGGCAAAACTACATTAATGGATTTGTTCTATGATAGTTGCACAACAGTAAGTACATGGATAAACATGAACAAAATAGAAATATTTGGCAAAATGACTTACATATCAAATTAAAACCAAAAACGAAAATTGCCTTTTAGATAACGAAAAAGAAGCGAATCCATTTCAATTCATTTATGACAAACGTTCATGCTCGTATTCATGAAGTCAAAGAGGAGGAAAGTAAAAATCAACAGTTTGTCGGAAGTGACAAAGCAAATCCATTCGATCCAACAAGATCAGTAGAAATAATAACTTTAGAAATACGTGTTATGCTACGCATTCGCTCGATATGATCACTGAAGAGACATAGTTGCTGTGTTTTGATGAGTTTCAAGTAATGGATAAAACAAATTATTTTACATGAAACATTTTTTTTCGGTGATTTTTTTTGTCTGTAACTAAAGCCATCTCATGCTTCGCCATTCCGTCCGATGTGTTATTTGCCGTTGAATAATGGCACAAGCGATCAAGAGAAGCAAAGCGAAGCAGAGATGAAAGAAAAAAAAAATTAATGTAATAAAGCAAATTTTATCGATGATTAGATGATTTGAATGTTGCGCACGGCACAATGAATCTGTCGAACATTTTTATTTTGAATGAGAGAGAGAGAGAGAGAGAGAGATAGGTCAATCAAGCGAACGAGGGAATGTGTCATACAGCTTCGCTCTCTGGCTGACGCACGCGCTT